GGGTTTGGGGTATAGGGTTTAGGAGTGTGGTGTTTTGGGGTTGTGGGATTTAGGGTTTGGGGCTTATCCTGTATATCAAGCTACAAGTAACCCAAGACGACTCTGGCAAAACTGAGCCGCCCCGGGCACTGTGTTGACTAACATGGAATGGCACTTCTGTAAACACGGTACGGGTCTGGGGTTTAGCGCAGGTGCCTATGAACAGGATCTTGCCATGAATCAGCTTACTGTTTTCTGGTCTTCATGACCTTACTACCTCTGGTCTATCTACAGTTGTGAGGTTACCGGTGTTTGGGTCTATCTAGGTCACCGATCCTCGAACTACCCGAATGGATTCCATGTTGAAAGCTACATACCAGGATGGGACCTCGGATCAGGATCGTCGCTGTCTTGGTCTTCTCCTTGGGCGCTGCAACAAACCATGAATTTTTTCAGTTCCCACCTGAACCCTCAACCGTGGCTCCTTTCTGTTAGGGTCCTTGTTGGCTGGACTCCCAAGATGCATCAACCCTAAACCGGTTTAGGGCTTGGGGCTTAGGAGTTTAGGAGTTTAGGGGTTTAGGGTTTAGGGCTTCCAGCCGAGCAGCGCATTTCGTGAAGAAATTGAAGCCTTGGTCAGGGGATGAGAGATCCTAAATATGTAATGGAAGCGTTTGCTTCCAGGGGCTTATGGTCTAGGTTGTATGATTGAGGGTGTAGGCTTTTAAAGCTTGCACCCTAGCAGCCCAGAAGCGCAAATCCTCGAAGTCTGCACCATTCCACTCGAAGTTTGGGGTGTTGGGATGGGAACCCAACCGTCTGAACCTCGAACTTGGGGCGTTTTTTGGGGGTGGCGGCCAACTGAAGCAATAGGATAAGGTTGGGGATGTAGGGTCTAGGTTCTAGAATTTAGGGTCTTGGGGTCGTAGGGTCGTAGGGCCTTGGGCTTAGCCTAAACCCCAAAACCCTAATGAGGGCTTGAGGGCCGGAGACAGCGCACCCCTAAAAAGACCTGAGACTTCCAAGGGGCGCTCGGCGCCCATCTGCCTCTCCTCGAAGAGTCCACAAGAACCGAGGACGCTCCTTGCGAGGGTTTAGGGCTTGGGGTTTTAGGGTTTAGCGTTTACAAGTAGGCCTTTAAGTTAAGGGTTCAGGGTTTTGTCGTCTTTCCTTTTCACCCTTCTTGGCAAGTGCCAGGTGGGGTTAAGGCGGGCTGGGTGTAGGTTTGTGCTAAATGTCAGCGTTTGGGACGTGTGCTAGCGTTGTCAGCGCATGCTCGGAAGTCATCCGGAAAGAATCTACCTGCTGCGCTCTGCTGGTGTTCAAAAGGTAGGGTTTCAACACTTTCCAGAACCACGATGTTTAGTCGACCCTGAGATTTTAGAACAGGGTCTGGGCGTGCATTATCTATCCAAGAACTATAAGAGGATGGATATGCCTTACCGATGAGACAACTACTCCGACATCTATACTGACCCTGAAGCGGCATGGGCATAAGGTAGTTCCAGGCACCAGCCTATCACCTATGCCCTAGCCCTTCTCATTCTCATCCCTACACCCTAAAACCCCAAACCCCTGAACCCCAATAAGCCTGAGCCCTAAGCCCAAAATCCTAAACTGCGAATCTGCTAAACTCCTGAACCCTAAACCCTAAAACGCAAATCCTAGTACCTTTAAAGCCCCCGAAAGCCCTAAAGCCCCAAAACCAAAGAAAGCCAGCCCCTAAACCGCAAAGCCCAAGCGGCCCCTAAACCCTAAACCCTAAACCCTAAACCCTAAACCCTAAAACCCTAAACCCTAAACCCTGAAACCCTAAACCCTAAACCTTAAAGCCCAAGCGGCTCAGTGATGCCCTGGGCTGTGGTCTGGACCTCCGCACCGGTGGCCCGGCGAGTTCGCTCCAGGTCTTCCACCTGTAGGCGGGGTTTTAGGCTTTAGGGTTTAGGGTTTAGGGTTTAGGGTTTAGGGTTTAGGGTTTAGGGGTCCGTTTAAGAATTAACGGGATCTATAGTCTCTTCAAAGGGATCTATAGAGGTCGTTAAGGGCTTCTGTAAGGGATGTGGAAGGGAATGTGTTGGTTCTGCTTTGCTTGCGATTTGGGGTTTAGGGTTTAGGGCGTGGGACTTTGGGTTCAGGGTTTGGGGTTAGGATGTTTCTGTCTCTGTCTCTGCCTCTGTGTGTGAGAGCACGTTTGGGATTGACTTCTTGTCGAGGAGGATGGGGTTGAGATTTTAGGATTGGGTCTTGGGGCTTAGGGCATGAGGCTTGGAGTTGGGGGCTCTGGGCAAGGATTCAGGTCGCGCAAGGGCTTGCTTATAGACTCAAGGCTCTAGTTAAGGCTGAATCATCTCGCCGTCGATTCTTTCGCACACTCCTGCGGCTGCCACGCTTCTAGTACTACTTCCCGTGGCACTGATGATGCCTCGATGACGATGATGACGGCTCTGGTCATTTTACGTGTGTCAAGTCAGGAACCCAACGGTTTAGGGTTTAGGGTTTACTGCATAGGGTTTACTACATAGGGTTTAGGGTTTAGGGTTTACGACATAGGCTCTTTATAAGCTCCTGCGGTGGTTGCAGCCTTCGGGTGTCGGATCTAGGATGTTTCGGGTCCAAGGGTTGAAGCTCCAAGTGTGGACGGAGGCCTCCACCCGCCCGGCGCAGAAGATGTTGCGGTCTGCGAAGTACCTCAGCGTGCTGGCATTTGCCTTGAGGGTTGAGGGTTTGGAGACATACGAAACCTGGAGGGGAGGCTGAATAATCAGACTCGGAAATTGAGGGGGAGGGGGTATTTTGTTGTATTTTATCCAGTGCAAGGACCATAGTTATAATAAGGAGCCCCCAAAACTGACATGCCATCCCACGAAGCTGAAACATTGCAGAGCAACGGACCCGAATCCATCTCCACACCTTCCTTATTCAAACCACCCTAAACCTCAACCCTAAGCCCTGAACCTTACCAGCCCAAAACCCTGATCTGTAAACCCCAAAGTCTGCGCTGTAAACCAGAGCCTGGAAGATTCCGTGAACATCCGCGAACCCAAAAACCTAACCCTACCTGAACCCCAAAATAGCCTACCTTTTTGAGGACTTGTATAAGGAAATCATAATGAGAAACCCTAAAAACGCGGGTCTCCTAGGTCCTAGGGTCCAGGTAATACGGTTAGCCCTGAGCTCTAGAGGCTGCATCGAATACCCTCGAGGCCCTAAACCTTATAAACCCTAAACCCGGCTGAAAAGCCTCAAGCCCTAAACCCCTAGTACCCTCAACCTTAAACCCTAAACGCTAAACCCTGAACCCTAAACCCTAAACCAGAAATACTAAACCCTAAAAGTACCCTTGAAGACCGGGTGGCTGCGTTGCGAGATCCCCGATGGCCAGTCCTAGGTTCTCCAGGAGCGCCTTAATAATTAAGGGTACCCCTTTGTTCCTACCATCTGGTTTTTATAACCCTAAACCCTAAGCCCTAAACCCTAAACCCAGAAAGAAAGAGGGCAAAAGGGTACTACTCAGAAACCTAGCGTCGGCTGAGAACGACATTTGCGCCCGACTTGGCGATCAGGTCCAGCTTCTCCTTGGTTTGATCGCCGCCAGAACCCTCAAGTCCCAGTTAGGGTTTAGGGTTTAGGGTTTAGGATTTAGGGTTTGAAAATATGAGAGAATGTATAATGTATTAAAACTTACGAGAATATTACATAGTAGAGCATGTTGTGGAAAGATACTGAACATGTAGGGTCAGGGTTTAGGGATTGAGGTTTAGGGTATCATATTGGGGAAAGATACTAAGCATATAGGGTCCGTATCTTTCCCCCAATATGTTTACAGACCAGGTCGGGTTTGCAAGGGTTAGGGCTCAGGGTTTAGACTTGATAAAGGTTTGGGTTACGGTATGGGGTCTATGGTTTTAGGTTCAGGGGCTTTAACCTCTCTGGTGTGCACTGAGAATATTGGCCTAATGGGGCCTTAAGAGTAAGAATGGGGCTTTCGGAAATTTATGGCGAGCGTATAAGTACACTGAGGGCCGTCATGAATCCAGTAGTGTTTTGGGCGATATTATGGTGTATCCAAATATCGGCAACTTTAAGGAAGATTGCTAAAGTAATGACTCGAGGCTATCATTGCTCCATCCGGTCGTCCAGTTTTTCATGTGGCCGTTTCATGACTTCCTGGAGTCGGATCTCTCATCTACTACAGACCCAAAGAAGACAGTCCTCATTTTCCGAACCCCTAATTCCCATTATAAAACTCGATGTCTAGGTAAATTAGGTTGCTGTCAACTTGCAGTAGCTATGTGTACACATTTCTGTATATAGATACGTGTATAAGCTCTACTCCAGGCCACAAGCCGCAATTTCTAAACCGTCGCTGAGACGCGTAGATGATGTTCCATTCGGCATCCACGATGGATTGGTACCTGGGCCAAGAGCACTACCTGCCAATCCAAAAGCCTGAAACACTGCCTCCCCTAAACAACACTTGCGGAACCACTCACGAGACACTGAACCGGCAAGGGGCTGATCTGGGTCACTGATCCTGACCTCGGCGTTGTCCTTCGCAGAGGTTTCAAGAGCTCCGGGGAGTGCCCTGAGCTGAAGGAGAAATGGTTGATATAGGGGCCTGCATAGTTACAACAGTCACGGTTAAAGTTGTAGGATATGAGGGTTGACATTGGGGCCCCAATATCTAGAATATCTTAGACTCCTGTTCAGAAGAATTTTTGCACCATTTTTTCAGGCCCCCAGACTCCACCCTCTGCCCTGAGCAACATCTCACAACAGGCCTGCAAGAAGAGGTCACCTCCTCCGAGCAGTCTCCAGCTTGAGGCGGAGCGGGGGGGGGGGGGGGGGGGTATCGGAAATTTAATGAAAACTGCACAGACCCAACAATGACATCCAACAGCCAGACCTGCCACACCCTCACTTCTCAACTCTTTACAGAAAACCCTGTAGGCCTCAGCTCTATTTTCCCTCTGACCCCCTGCTTGAACCCTCTAATCCAATCCTCTAACCCATCAACTGGAAAACCCTGAACCCTAACAACAACTCACCAAGTCCTCAAACAACAGAGCAAGTTGACGCCAAAACCCGAAACCGTCTAGCCCAAAACCATCAAAAGCACCCTGAATACCTACAGGCATGTGCTGCCAGAAATTGCGGAGGTCCTTTTCGGCCTTCAGCTCCAATTCAAGATTCCTGCGATCAGGGTAACGGCTTAGGGCTTAGGGCTTAGCTCTTTGTGTTTCGGGATGTATCGGAGTTTAAGATTCAGGGCTGCTGTAGACTGCACAACGTTTAGGGTGGACCGAGGTGCTGGCGGTCGCCGTCGTCGTAGTAGTACAATTATAGTAGTAGTAGTAGTAGTA